TAAAAATAGAAACCAAGAACAAGGGCAGAAAATAGAAAATAGTAACAAATATGGTAGATATTAATTTAAAGATCTCAATAACCACTTTGCAAATTAAAGTGGTTTAAATACACCAATTAAAAGACAGATTTGTCAGAACAGATTTTAAAACAACACTATCATATGTGTTCCATGAGAAATATTTTAAATGTAAAATTCATATTGGTTAAGAGTAGATGGAGGGGGCCTCCTTGGTGGCGCAGGGGTTGAGTCTCAGCACTATGAAGCTATTGGCAGCCACTGCAGCACGAGTTCGATCCCCAGCCAGGGAGCTGACCCACAGGGTGCAGCAGACCTCTCCTGTGAGGCACTGTGTGGAGGCAGGGGAGGAAGGCAGACCAGGAGACCTTTTGATTTGTAGGTAATGAGGGGAGCATGAGATCTCGGAAAGCTGGGGTGGGCTCCGCCTTTACCTAAGACCATTACGAGTCTCGGGGCTGCTGAGGGGAGAATAGGGGTCTCTCCCATCACCCTGTGTCCCCAGCAGCCTCGTGGAGCCTGGCACACAGCAGGCGTGCAACACCGGTGTAGCAGATTGGCTCTGAAACCTGGGGCTCTTCCCCCGGCCACCTCGTGGGTCCCTGTGCCAGGGTCCCAGTCTCGCTGGGCACAGCCCACCCCATGTCAGGCCGCGCTGACCCACTCTCCAGGTTGTGGTGCTAGGGGGTGAAAGTCTCCCCTAATGCAAGGCTTTGCCAAGCTATTCAGGGGTTCTGCCAGATTCCCTTCCCCACCCTGGTCTTTGCTCAGGCAGGTCTTTGCTAATGTCTTCCTGATATCCCTACACTCAAAACGCAGCCTCTGCAGCTCCTTAAACCCCCTCTTTGCCCTCTTCTGTCTGCAAATCTGTCTCTGAACTGGTGGCGCCCCCTGCAGGATGATGAAAGATGAGACCAGGTTGGAAATAATCTGCCAACCTCACTCAAGAATTCAGCCCTGTGTCTGGCGCATAGTAGGTGCTCAATAAACACCTACTTGTCCTTCCGTAGTTAATTGGGACTGAAATATCTGCATCTGCTTCAGGCGTGCTCAAAGGGGGTCTCCCTTTGATTAGAAACCATGATGCCCCTTTCTGGCCTGGAAAGGTTCTGTTCAGCCCACCCCGGGGGAGGTGGTGTTTTGTGCTCAGCTCGGGACCTTGCAAACTGACGGAGCTTACACTGGGGAAATGTTCCTGGAGCCTGTTATTAAGCGAGGCTGATGTCTGTATGCGCTGGACAGCTTTGGAGGACTTGCGGGTGCTCCCTCCTTTGGCACCAGCTGCAAACGCCCCAGACACCTCCACCCACCAGACGTTGCCCTCCCACGGGCCAGCCAGGCCCATAAAACCCAGGGGCTGAGGTCAAACCAGTCATTTCTACCATCAACTGTTTGGGTTAGTTGTTAAAAAATGTCAATCAGACATTAAAGGTGGTTCTATTCCAAAAAATGAATATCTTTCTGTAGTGGACACTGGGGGGGGGTCCCTCACTCAAACCCTGGGATCCCCACTGCCAAGCCTTGCTGCTAATGGCTGCACCTGGAAATGTTTTCAGGTGGGTTTGTGGGACCCCCTCACTACTCCCCTCCTTAAGTGCCAAAGAGAGAACATCTGGGAGTCAATCTCCCAGTGCAACTTGTACCCCAGAGCTCCCCAAGTGCCCTTGGGAGCAGCTGATGTCAAGACTCTGCCTAACCCCCACCCCCACCCCCTGCACATCTCCACTGTCCTCTTCCCAACTCCCTGGCACTGCCTCCACCCCCCAGGTGCCTGCCTCAGTGCTTCCTGTGGAAGAGACCCTCCCCCCCGCCCCATCAAGCCCTGTCCCTGCTGGAGGACAAGTCCCAAGACTTCAGAAGAGGTACAGCGTTGTGCATCCTCTCACTCCCAAGGGGAAAGCCCCGGGTGGTCACTGGCACTGGGTGGTCACTAGAGGGCCACTAGCTGCGGCTGGAACCAGCGCCCTTACCCCCCTTTTATTGGTACTGTCTGCCCGAATTCTCACTGGGCTCCCCAAAGAAGTGAAAAAGCCTGTTCCAAAGAATTGTAAAATTTATTGTATAAGTATTGCAGCTTTTCAGAATGTCATCATTGCCACTAATGATTATTGATACACAACAAGCGATTTCATCAGGCCTGCGATCGGCATCCAGACACAGTCCTGGGCGCGGCGGCGCGGGGCCCCACGCCGGGTTGGCGCGAGTTTAGGGTGAACAGAAGGCGGGGTGCGGGGGGCGTCCACGCCAGGCGACCCCAGGGGGTCAGGTGGGCAGACAGCGCGGCGCGTCCTCCCGAGCTCCATCCAGCAAGATGCGGAGCGCAGGGCGGCGTTGGAGGGTGGGAAAGCCTCGTCCTCGGGATGCTGGATGGATCTGGAAGCTTTGTGTTGCACGTAAAAAAACCCCAAACTCTGAAACGTACAATTCACAGAGAAGACAGACAAGGAAGGGGAGTGGATGCGGTTTGCGGCCCGCCCCGGGACTTGCTGGTCCTGGGGAGAGGTCGCCGGCAGCCCTTTGCAAAAACGACCGGGCTTCTGGGGGCGCATTGGGGCGCGTTTGGCTTAGCGCAGTCGCTGGCTCTGTCTGCTACACCCCGGCTTCCTGGGAGGGGCGGGGAGGAAGTAGGATTGACAAGCAGGGAAACAAAGTGGATCAGAGAAAGCCCTGCCAGGGCCCCCTCATGAGCAGAACCTGGTCCCCCTCCAACCAGCCACGCTGAGGCCCGCCTTCACTCTTTGGAAAAGGGGGCCTCTTGGGGGGTGCACAGGGCTTTCAGAAATAGCGGCATGATAGCCAACTCCCAGAGGCAAGAATGCACCCCAGCGCTCTGGGGTCCAGTGGCAAAACCCAGCTCAGCTCTGGCAGAAGTTTCCAGAACATTCCCATCAGCTTTTGTGAGATGGCCTGCTCCCGGTGAGAGGCCGCTGGGCCCTGGCCTTCTGCAACTGTCATGCACTGAGCACGAAGCTGGGGGTGCTGCAGCCCCGGGGCCTTGGCACTGGGTGGTCACTAGAGGGCCACTAGCTACGGCCGGAACCAGCGCCCTGCACACACAGGCCACGGGCGAAGCTATGAGACGCAGCTCAGCTCCAGAGGACACAGTGGTCGGCTCGGGCCGGCTTCTCACACAAATGAGGTTCTAGGTTTTCGACCCAGATGGCTGAAGCACAGTACCTGCCGAGAGCTGGGGCGAGAGGAGGTGGCCGGGCAGGGCGCGAGGGCCGTGGGGACGTCTGAAAGGAGCCAGGGCCCCCTGTCCACCACGCGTGGTGAGCAGGTCCCGGGGGAGCGAGACACTGTCCAGGAGGACCCCCGCGGGGTGACACGAGGGTCACCGGCTTCCTTAGTAAGGCACTAGGGAGACGCTTCCCAGCTAGGGGAGATCCGTTTTTAAAATTTTATCTATAAATGTGTCCCTGTACCTTTCAGGACAAACTGCATGGATTTATCTGCACGACCTTCTCAAAGCATCCAGAGCTTAGGCTGGAGGCCCCACGGGAGACGGGACGGGTCGGGCACCCGCGCCCTGGCCGCTGGCCGCAGTCACCGGGACGCCCGCCCCTCTGCCGGCCGCTGCCTTCCCCTAAGGTCTGTGCGGTCCAGCGCTTCAAAACTGTCCTCAGGCTTGTGTTTTCAAGTAATAAAGAAAGCTGCTTCCGAACAAGAGTTATTGCCTCTCAGGCCTCTTCGATGCGAGTCCCCAGGAGCATCCTGCTGGAGACAGACCCCCCTGGGGGGGGAAGGTGCTGGGGGCTCGCCCTTCCCGCTGGGAGGATGACCGGCTCCGGCCACTCCCCCGGTGGGTCCCCAGGCCCCACGGTCTCTGTGCACTCGCGTGTGCCTCTCACACCCCTCTGCCTGCACGCCACCCCCCCGGGCCCCAAACCCAGACCTGCGCAAGAGCGGCCGGGGCGCCAGCCTGGGGCGGGGCGAGACGCTCGCGAGGACAGACGCGTGGACGGGCGCACACAGCTGTCCCCACGGGCCGGGGCGGGGGGAGGCCACAGACTCTGCTTCTGAAGCACAAGCACGCGGGGGCGTTGGGCTGGCTCCTCACGGGCCCCTTTGTGTGTTCGGGGCAAAGCTGGACCCGTCAGCTTCGCATCCCTGGTCTTCTGGTGACCGGCCTGTTCCGCGAGGCTCTCTCAAGAGACAGACAGGGCTGAGGTCAAGCTCCTAATACTGCGGGCCTCGGGCAGGCGAGGGAGCAACCTGCCGCCTACAGGACCGTCCTGGTCCCAGGGAGGGAAAATGGTTCCTGCGGCAACAGCTTCGTTGCACTTCTGGGCAGGCCGCCCCGGAGCCAGGCGCCCCGGCGCTTTCCTACTCGTTTGGGATCCAGAAGCTGCTCGGGCCCAGAGGGGGAAATGTTTCCTTCGGAAGGGAATGTTTAAGGAGGTGAGAGACCCATCGCCCGCCCGGCAGGAGCAGCGGCGCCGCGGGGAGCTCCAGACCCCGGGCGCGCGGCCCCGCCTGGCGCTGGCGGGGGAGCCGCCATGTCTCCCTTACAGTCTCGACAGACATGATAGAAGTTTCCATCAAACAAGCACTGACATATTTATATTAAAAAATAGTGCAAAAGCTCAACATTTATATAAATAACTCTAAACCCCTGCTTTGTCATTTTTTTTTTTCTTTACAAGGTAATACACACTTTCTGAGTTGGCACTCAAAAATTGCCATTTTTTTTCTCTGCTAGTTCAGAAAACAACTTTTTTTTAATAGGCCTCTTCTAATACAAAAATACTCCTGCCCTCGCACATACAGTTTCTCTTATTTTATATATATTTATATATAATATTGCAGATCTTTAAACAAAGGTTTTGTGCAAATATGTCTTTAAAGTTAAGTGAAATCATAAACAAACGAAAGAAAAGAAGCATTCACGCACGCAGCTCAACTAGGAACAGAGACTAGTGGAGAAGGGTTTGTTTTCTCTTTTGCCTTCAAGACACAGCTCAACAAAGAAACGTGGTTTCTGCGAGTTTCCTTAGCTTGTGCATCCAGACCAGACAGAACACGTAAATATTTATACAGAGAGGCGGGGAGAGGTTGATGCGCTGCATTTTCGACTCGCCCGTCCTCTCTCTCTTAAGAAGTGCTTGAGTGTTTTGCTTTTTACCCGCTGCCGGCCCAGCCCTGCCCCCGGGATCCTAGAGAGGGTGTCCTTTCTGTTTCTCCTTCTCTTTGCTCCAGGCGGCCGTGGTCTCCAGGGGGGCGATGTGTGCGTGGTGGAGCCGGGTCCCCTCCAGCAAGGGGGGCGGCCCGCCGCTCTGCTGGTGTTGGAAGGAGGAGGACCCGGGGTAGTGCCCGATGACCTCACTGTAGGTGGGGGGCGGCCCCTCCATGCGCCCACCGCCCCCGTAGCACGTGGCGCTGATGCCCGAGTTACTGCTGGGGGGGCAGGGGCCCCCCAGCATGGCGCTGTCCATCAGGTCGCTGTCAAAGATGGTTCTGTTCGGGGGCGCGCGCACCGACTCGCGGTTGAGCTCCAGCTGCTGCTCGGGGTCCCGCAGCTGGAGAGTGCAGGGGCCCTGGTAGGGCGGGGGCTCCTCCCCGTCCGACAGGGAGATGGTGGGCGGCAGGTCGATCTCGTGCTGCAGGTAGGGGTAGGTGGGCTGGAAGCGGTGGAAGCGGTCCCGCTGGGTGAAGGGGGGCACCGCTAGGCGGTCGGTGGGCCGCGGCGGGGCGTACACCTGGGGCTGGCGGGGGCAGAGCAGAGTGAGTTCCTGGAAGCAAGGCCCGGGACACGCCCCTCCCCCCTCGCTGCCCCGGGAAGGGGGCGGGAGAGAGTGGACTCGGCTGAGGTCCGAGCCCGGGCCTGACCTCGGGAGCCCTGCAGCATGGACTTGGTCCCAGAGTAGAAATGGGGGCACTTTCCACCTCGCGTGTTGTGGATACATATTCTGAGCTCCCCCGGGGTCAGGACTGTCCTGGGCAGGGGGTCCCATCAGCCAAGGAAGGGCAGGGTTGTGGCGATTAGCAGCCAACGACCCTCCGGCCTGGTGAAGGGGGCCGGCTGGGCGAGGGGCCTCACTGTCCACCGCCGCCGCCCGGGCAGTGGTGGGGGGAGCAGAACAAACGGGAGGGGACACAAGTGGTGTGGAGGGGAGGCTGTGCCGGTCTCACCTCGGGGATTCCGTTGCCCGACACTGTGCTCTCAGAGGGCCAGAGACATCCTTCCTGCGTGGGGAGGAGAGGGACAGGCAGGGTCAGCGGGGTGGGCAGAGGCGGGGGAGGAAAGGAGCCACTCAGCTGTGACCCCGAGATCTCCAGGTAGAATCAGATCCTGTCCCATCCGGCTGCCCCCGCCAGGCCTGGGTGTTCACACTTTTTAAAGCATCCACCTGATGGGGGAGTCCCCTCTTCTCAAAACCTCCCAGCAGCTTCCTGTGGCCCTGAGAATGCAGCGGATGGCTGGTGAACCGGCCCCGGCTACCACTCTCTGGCTGCGCAGCCTTGGGCGGCGGCTTCTCATTCTCGCTGCAGCTGCCGCATCTGAGCACGCGGATTAATACAGCCCTTAAAGCAGCAGGACATGCAAACACCTGCAGGGCACGTAGCCCTCGGGAGCACCTCGAAGTGCAGGGTGCCCCCCCCCAGTCACATCAACCCACTGCCCAGCTCATCAACCTGGTCAGGTGCACCCCAGGGCCTTTGCACACCCCGTCCTGCCGATGGCCACCTTCTTGCTTTTTAATACCAGTGAACCCTGACACCGTTTTGTGAAAAGTTTGGTCCGCACGAGCCTGCCATCCCCTTATTTCCCTCACGGCTTCTCCCATATCTGTGATCACCTTGTCAACGTATCAACAGTCACGTTGTCACTTAACAGTGGGGATGACGTTCTGAGAAATGAGTGATTAGGTGATTTTGTCCTTGTGCCAACGTCAGGGAGTGTAATTACTCGGGACTGAGATGGTACAGCCTCCTGCGCACCTGGGCCACAGGGCGCGGCCTCCCGGACCCCGACCTCTCAACCACCCGTCACTGCCCAGAACGCAGCCGAGGAACATGGGATTGGCTAGACACGGCTGTCTCGCCCTCTAATCGTGGGCCCCGCTTATGGTGAAGACAGAGAAGAGTTAATAAGCCAAGTCCCCGGTGCAGCTGCTTCACCAGGGACTCACCTGCAGTCACCCACCAGGGTGAGGTATGGAGCCACGGCCTGACGGTCCAGCAGGGCTGCAGTTACCTTGGAGCCGGGGGGGATGGTGCTGGGCCCAACCTGCCCAGGGCGTCCAGGTGGCAGGCTCAGTACGGGGAGTCCCACCCCGACACACCCACCTGCAAGTTCAAGCCACACTAGAGGGCCCCTCATGCCTCCTGCCACCTATGGCCAGTGCCTAGCCTGCTCCACCCCCGGACCTCAGCCTGGGCTGCAGACACCACACCCTCACACTTCGGGGGCCCCCGGCACATCTCCTCCCACCAAGACCCCCATTTCAAGGGGCAGAGATCTGAGGGACAATGGAACCCCACGCTGGGATCAGCTCTTCTGAGGGGACCCAGATCCTGCTGCTATGCAGGGGTGCCCTGGGCCTGGGGTAGAGACGTCTACTTGTAATTTCATAGTTTTACTGACATGTAGCTGAGTAAGCCACACATATCCAAATATGAAAAGTTTGGGCATATGTATATACCACAAACCCCTCACCACAATCAAGATAACGGTGATTACCCCCTAGTTTCCTTGACGGGTCACAGGTAAGCTGACGGCCACCTGCATCCGAGGGGTGCAATTTCTTATGGTGCCACTAGGGGGCTCTCTGGCTCTCAAAACTGTCCCATCGGGCATGACTCGCCTTGTAAGCTCATCAGGGTCTAGCATGTTCCAGGCGTGGGGATGCAGAGCGCAGACACGCATCCTCGCTGTTAACACGGTCATCAAGGGCCATTTTATTACTGATATTAGCAACTGGGCAGTTGCTGCTCACACACAGTAACACGCGCTGCCGCTTGCAGAGTGCTCTCAACTCCCACAGCCCTGCGAGGCAGGCTCGGGTGGGCCGGTGCGGCTGGGAGAGGCAGCAGTGGGACCATCCCCCAGCCGCCGGTCTGCAGACCCTCTTGGGCCCAGGGCCAGTCCGGTGGGGTCCCTGTGTGTGCCAGGAGCAGAGAGGACACCCATCTGCTCCCCCAAGTAGTCAGGAGCTGGGGTGGGGTACAGGCAGCCAAGGCCAGCCTGGACTCAGCCCAGCCCAGGTCCTGCATAACAATGTCCCTACCGGGGACCCCAGGGCACCCACAACCTCATCAGCTGCTTGTCACTGCTGCACCCGAAGGTCACAGCCTCCTCCAGGAAGGCTTTGGAGGAAGAGCTGGATGTCCCCCTACCCCCACGGGCTCTCAGCCCCTCCTGCATCAGACCCTTGTCCAGCCCCCGACATCCTGCTGACTGCAGCTCCAGATGAGCTGCTCCTGCACAGAAGGGGGGTCTGACTCATCTGCTCCTGGTTCAGTGAGGCCTGACCCCTCCCCCTGCAAAGAGCCACACCAGGGGGCATTCCTGACACACCCGTTCCACCCCCAATCCCAACCCCGCTCCCCTGAGCCCCGCAGGATTCTCCCTCCAACATACAGTCCAGCCCACCCACTTTCTCCACCAACTTAGCTGCCAGACAGGCTCGGGGCCCCCTACGCCCCTCTACACCCGGTGAACCACACTTAGACCTCGTGGAAGAGCTCCTTCCTCCTCAGAAGTCGGGGTGGTCTCCTTCACCTGAACCCCACCTGCCGCTCCTCCTTTAAACCCTGTCCCCAGAAAATCCCCTCTCCAGACCAAGCTTCCCGGAGCACAGACGCAGCGTGGAGGCCTCTCTGGGGCTGACCCAGCGTCTGGCCCCACCGACGCGTCACCTCACCTCTGCACCAACCCCCGAGCCTGCATCATTTGCCCCCTTCCTGCTGAACTCACATGGGAGGTATGCCCGTTGGGGGCTCCCGGGCCCCTCCCTCTCAGTGCCTCCCCCCACATTTGGCTTTCCCTGTGGGGCTGCCGGGCTGTGAACCCAGGGCCGTCAGGTCTGTGCCCAGCTTGGGTGAGGCATGCAGTAGGCGCTCAGCTTAAGGGCATACGTTACTGTGCGGCCCCACTTCTGGGGGTCCAAGTGTGACCCCGGCTAGAGTGACAGGAACCCCTGCCCTAGTGGGGGACCCTCAGCTGTGGTCCCTCCTGCAGCAGCAGAAGCAGCAGTGCACGCCTCCCACCACCCCAGCTGAAACTGAACCCCAGGGGGTCACCCTGAAAAGGGACCAGGACAGGACAGCCTCAGCAGGGGGGCTCGGCCCAGGCAGACAGCGGCAGCTCTGGTCTGAGTCCCCTGGGGAGTCACCACGCCTCAACACTCCTCAGACGCACCCCGCCCTGTCTGGCTGGGGCCCCCAGGGAGCTGCCATGCCTGCTTCAGGCCTCCTAAGGCTGCACCGTGTTTACCCATCCAGGCGCCCCTGGGGGCTGTGCAGGTGGCTGGGCAGACAGGGCGGCGGGCGGGGGAGACTGCCACTACCCTCAGGTGTCCAGGAGCCGGGCCCGAACCCTCCGTCTGTCTGGGCAGGGAGTCCCAGGGGTTACCCACGGGGCTGTCGATCCCCCCCCCCCACTAGTGAGGATCCATACTTGGCTGACGCCTCTCCCCGTGGCCGGTGGAGGCGGGAGGAAGGCCAGGCTCACCCGCCGCACACTTGTGGGCACTGAGGCCGGAGGGCAAAGTCACCCACCAGGACGGCGCAGCCGCAGACTGGGGCGTCCGGGTGAAGCAGAGGCTGGGCCAGGGCTGGAAGGAGGAGCGGAAGGGGGCTCTGCCCCTGCCGTGCAAAGCTGCGTGTCCTCAGGCAACTGTTCCCACCTCTCTGAGCCTCGGTGCCTCCCCTGCAAGATGGGCTCCCGGGCCCCCACGGAGCGGGGAGTCGCCAAGGGCAGGCAGGGAGCGGCGGAGGCGCGGTTGCTGGGGCAACAGCTGCAGCAAATAAACAGAGGCGGGCGAGGCCTGCACTCCAGACGCCCTGGGGCCCTCCCGGGCCCTCTGGAGCCCTCCGGACACGCGTGGGGCCTCGGGCTGTGGGTGCCCCGAGTTCCCGGAGATGCTCCTTGCCCTGGCAAGCTGGTGACACCTGGGACTGTGGCCCGGTGCTGGGGAGATGCCCGGACCTGCGCTGGACGGGCTGCCGGCCAGGTCTGAGGGTGCAGCATCAACTCAAGTCACCAGGGGGGCCTTTGTCCAGGTGGCCGGCTGCCTCCACGGCGGAGTCCCTGGCTCAGATGCCCCCAGGTCTGTGGCACGAGGGGAGGGCACCTCCCTTCTGTCTGGGTCACGTTGCAGGATCACGCTACCCTCCCTCCAGCCCAGTGTCCCCAGGCCTCTGCCTGTACTCGGGGCAGCCCCCCTGTCCCGTGAAGCCACCGTCCTGCTCCCCGAACCTCCACCCCATCAAGTCTCGCCTCTCGGGCCCGGCCCCACTCGAGCGCCCCTCCCCACCTGAGCTGGACAGATCATGGACCCCAGACCCAGTCGGCCACAAGCGTGTAAACCATTGACCCTTCCCTGCCGGCCCTCCACCGCCCCCCCCCGCACCAGCTGAGGCCCGCCCTCACCCCTCGGAGGAGGCGCCGGCCACGGTGGGCTCCCGGACCTTCCCACCCCGAGTCTGGGCCCCCGAGCACCTGCTGCCACCAAGGGGGGCACGTACCGAGGAGAGGGCGTCTTCTCTCCGCCTGCCCTGGCTGTGCCGGCCGATGAGGGAGCGCGCAGACAGCTTGTAGTGGCTCAGCAGGCACGTGATCACCACCACCATCACCATCACCACCACCACGATGACCGTGATCTCCACGAACTCCAGCTCCGCTGCGGGGAAGCACACACGTGAGGCCGGCGGCAGGTGCGGGTCGGGGCCCAGCCACCCGCGGCTCCACACCCGCGGCGCGAACACCCCCGCACGCACACCAGCACGAACACCCCCCCACACACACACCAGCACGAACACCCCGACACGCACACCGGCGCAGACGCACCCCAGCCGACATGAACACTGCTCGCATGCACGAGCACAGGCGACACAGGTGACACGCACACCCATCACACGCACGAGCGCAGGCGACACACCCGCCACACGCACACACTCGGCAGGACAGGGGCGTAGGGGCCCCCATTCCAGTGAAGAAGTTTCAGCAAAAGCACGTTCCCGGCGGCCACAGACACCCAGTTCTCATCCTTCCTTTGGCGTCACCGGGTCCCCTGCAAGGTGGCGCCCGGCCAGCACCTTGGCCTGCGGGAGCCGGGCCTTCGCGGACGGCGGCGCGCATCGCGTGGCCCAGCAGCGGCAGGGCGGGGGTCCCGGTGGTGGCCGGCAGTGGGGACAGCCGCCCCCGAGCCCAGGAATGTGCCACCCCAAGCCCTAGGGACAGAGGAGGAGCCCGAGCCCAGGTGCTCCCGGGCGCGGCTCCAGCTGGGGTCACTGGCTCAGCTGCTCCCGCAGGACCGCCACTGGCTGGGCCTGGCCGGCAGGGACGGGAAAGCTGCAGGCAGGGGTGGCCGTGCCAGGACGGCCAAAATCTGCCGGACGCCCCCCTCCTGCCCCACCTGTCCTAGCGGGGGACGTCACTGCCCAGCAGGGGAACTTCTCCACACAGAACCACCCCCCAGAAGCCCCTGGCCTCTGCCTCTGCCGGCACAGCGTCTGCAGGACACCCGCCGTGCCACGCCCCATGTCTGCTTGCTGTCAAGAAATCAGGGTAAGTGCCCCCAGGGGTCACCTGGCAATGTCGGGGGACACTGGTAACCCCCAACCGGGGGTCCTACAGTGTGTACCCTACAGTGTGTACCCTCAGACGCCCCAGGACCAGGACACAGTCCACAGGCCACGGCTGGGCCTTCCTCCGCTCCCCCGTGAGGACACCGGGCCAGAGGCCAAGCGGCAGACCTGGGCTGGCGGCCCTTCTGCCCGCGCTGGCTCATGGGCACGTCCGCACGTCCCTGGAGTGGTCAGGGGGAGAAACTGGCAAGGAGTTCGGTGAGACTGCCCTCGGGTGAGAGGCCCGGGGTCCCGCCTGGCGGGCACGTGGCCAGCCTGGAAGCAGCCGGGTCACCTCACTTTCCCTCCAGGAGGGTGGGGCCCGGGTTGGGTCAAAGCCAAGGCTCCAGGCCCCAGACTGGTTCCTGTGCCCCCCGCCTGCCTCCCACCCATCCCGGCTGGCTCAGGGCCGGCAGCCTGGTCTGATTCCGCGGGCCGAGGCCCCGTCGGTGGAGGCCTGGATAAAGCCGCCCATTCAGAGGACACACAGCTGGCTTTGTGCACGCCCACGCCCCTCCTCTGAGGCCCGCATTCCCCTCCCTCAGCCCGTGCACTCTTCACCCCAGCCCGGCGGTGGCGGTGGGCACCCCGCGGCCCCCTCCCCGGCTGTCCCGGGGCCCTGCCCACACTGGGCCCAGAGGGCAGGCAGTGAGGGGCTGCCTTTGTGCCGGGATGGGGCCCGGTGGCCATCGGGATGTGGCCGGCCACTGCCCTCTTCTGAGTGTCGTCCGGAGCAGCACGAGGGGCGACGGGGGACGGAATGAGGCCCCAGCAGCCCACACAGACATGAAAAAGCCCTCTCCAGCTGCCCTGACCCTGCGGCCCTGCGGGCGGGCCAGGAGCGTGGGAGGGTCTGATTTCTGGGGGCTGTGCCCAGAGAGGAAGACTCGCCCCCAAAAATGGGCCCGGAGCAGCAGAAAGCACGAAGGACCCAGCCTGACCCCTGCAAGGCGGCGACCCCGAAAACTCCCACAGGGTGGGGGGCAATCAGGTTCTGGGCTCCACCCTGGGAGCCAAAAGCCTGGGCATCTGCCAGAGGCTCTGCGAGACCCCGGAAGCCCTCTCCCCTCCCTGCCCACTGCCCGCCCAGTCCCCGTGTTTATGAGGACTCAGGGTGCCTCCCTGTGGAGCTGCGAGTCAGCAGGGGGTGAGCACCTGGGGTGCTGCGGGGTGACTGTGCTTCCTGGGGGCGGCCGGCACCCAGCTACAGCAAAGCAAGGGCGGCCCAAACCCAGAACCTGGGAGAGGGTCAGCGGGCCACGCTGGTTACCCCAGCCCTGCTCAGGCACCGAGGGGCAGGTGGGCCGGGGGTCGAGGGGCACGGGAGAGGCCCCCAGCCCCAGCTGGTTTGCCCCCTCCCCATAAGTCAGAGAAGACCCTGGTCTGGATCTCAAGTCTCCCCCCAGGCCTAAGAGCCAGGGCTTGCCCAACCCCGATGGCTGGGGATCTCTGGCCCTTGGGGAAGGAGGAGGGTGGGGGCCTCTAGCAACTCGTGGCCTTCCAGGGACACGGGCCACCCGGGAACCGCTTCTTCGGGTGAGAATCAAACAAGTGCCTGCTGCGAGGACAGGAACGGGCCCCAGAGGTCACCCCACTCACAGCCTGTGCAGCCTGCTGGCCCACACCAGCGACACCCCTGCCACCCTGGGGCAGCTCAGGCTTCAGCACCCTCACAAGGACACAAGGCGCACCAGCCCCCTCCCTCCAAGTCCCACAACCTCAGCAAAGGCCCCCCGTTGGGGAAAGAGGGCACCATGGCTGCCCTCAAGGGCCTGGGTCAAGTTCAAGGCCCGTGTCCCTAAACTGGCCCCATACCTCTGTCCTCTACAGCACCCACGGATCTGCTGGGACCACGGCAGGGCGGAGCTCACACAGCTGCGCCCCCTGCCCCCATCTTGGCGCTCAGTTATCCTGGAACCACAGGACACAGGTCTGCTCACAAACAAGGGCAGGGGAAGTGGGGGTGGAGCCGCAGCCCACACCCACTGCACCCTCCTGGCAACTCACCGGGACAGCGCTGGGATTCTAACAGGCCTGTGCGCCGAGGTGGGTGGTGCATCACCACCCTGTGGTGCAGGTGAGTTTAGGGAGAAGCTGTCCAAGCACCCTAGGACACCTGGTGCTACCTTCCTCTAGGCACACTGACCTCGGTGAGCCCCAGTTTGGGGAGGGCGTCGTGAATTAGCAGCTATAAAGAGCTCAGAGCAGGGCAGGAGACAGCAGGGCCTGATGTCTCAGTGGCGGCTCCCCCCAGCTGAAGCCCTGGATGCACCTGGCTGCGGGCTGCCTGCAGGCCTGGCGCACTCCGCCTGGCGCTCTCCACCTGGCCTCTGCCCAGTCGCCAGGGTGGCAGCTGGAGCCCAGGAGCTTGGGTCCTGGTCCCTGCCTTTTGTTGCCTTGTCTGCACAGATGCCAGGGGAAGGCCAGGAGGGTCTCGGCCATTTTCCTTCTGAATTTCCCTCTCGCGGTGGGTGATGGACGTGCAGGCTCCTGGGAGCGACCCAGCCCCTCTTCCGCAAGCAAAGTGAGGTCACTCTAATTTAATTAGCGGCCTCTTTCCCGTGAATAATTTCAAAAGAACAGGTCTCCTGGCCCCTGGAGTGGCCTGACCCTTTCGTCTCCTCCAGAGACAGACCAGCCACTGAGGCGGGTCACACGCTCAGCCTAGGCCTGCCGGAGGCAGGGGACAGCACCACCCAACTGCCAGCACACCCCAAATCCTGCGAGCGTCTTCTGAGTTGACCCTCGCCAGCGCTCTGTGACGGAGATGCTGACACCGCCTGCATCGACAGATGCAGAAACAGGCTACAGTGGCCAGGCGCCAGGTCACCGGTGACGGGCCCAGGGGCCAGCGACCACCCACACCCCACGGTGGGAACCAGGAGGCCCCCGAGCATCAGAACCAGAGAGCTTCAAGCAGACGACTCCCGGGTTCCCAGGCTGAGCCGGGCTGCCTGGACACCTCTTGGCGAAGCCCAGGAGACCAGCCTTGTGGCCAGGGGCACCCACCTCCCCCTGTCACTCGGAGGAAAATCACAGGCTGGGAATTAGGAAGCCCTCAGGCCAGGCACTTGGGGAGCCCTGGGTACCCCCATGGCTTTGCGAGCAGACTCCAGTGGCCAGCTGTGCACCCAACGCCTCCCCCTGCCCAGACCGGGGCCCCTCCTCAGCTGCATCACAGGGGTGGGGAGGGGTCTTCCCGGGGCAGGGGGCCAGGCCGGCGGCAAGTTCGGAGCCCGCAGCTGGCAGCTGGACACCGCGGCCCCTTCCTCAGGACACGGCTTTTAACCCAAAACTAGAAGAACAGATGCTGGAAAGGATGCCAACGACTCCGAATAGTCACCAAGCTCTCTCCGGAGGGAGACTTGGGACGGCGCTGCCGGACAGGGGACGCCCGCAGCCTTCAGGTGACAGGGAATCTGTGGTTTCCACCGGCGCCATCAAAGGTCCGGCTGGGCGCGTGGCTTGGGGCCAGGCCGGGTCGGGGGAGCTGAGGGGAAGACGCGCTTCTCCCGCAGGGGCCGAGCCCTGCGCTGAGTTCAGCGGGAGCCCGGGTTCAGATCCGGCGCCCACGCCCGCGCGGGCGAGGGCCGGGGGCGGCGCAGGGGGGTGTTCGTCAGCCGAACCGCAGTGGGGCCTCCCTGACCGCGCAGCTGGAGCGTGGGGTCAGGGCCCACCTGGCTGCTGCCAGCCCCCAGGGGCTTTCCAGACCCGACGACCCCTCGGCCCCCCTTGCGTCTGCTGCGGGGCAGGGGCCGCCGCGATGCGTCCTGGTTAACAAGCAGCCGCGCAGGCGGCCCTGTCTGGCCTCCCGGCCGCACACCGGAGTTAGGAATTGGCACTGTCTGAAATTTATGAAAATCTAATCTTGTTAGGCCTGCCTGGATGAGACCCGCCTGGCGGGCCTCATTGTCATTCCGCGGAGCCCAGCCTGCCTGGGGTTCCAGCCACCTCCATGGCTGCCTCCCCCCAGCCCCCTGCATCTGAGCAAGAACCCAGCTCCGCCCCCTCCCCCCAGGATTTCAAATAAAACCGAACCTGCCGTCAAAGGAAGAACTTTCTGATCGCTCCTGGTGCCGTTTCAAACACCCCCCACTGCACGTTTTTTTTTTTCTTTAGGGCAAGACCATTTATAGGTTAAAAAAAAGAATGGTTTTTCTCCTGAGGTCTCAGAGGTGGGCAGAGAATCTAGGCCAGGTTCCCGGCTTTGAGAGCGGACGGCAGCGTGCGCCGGCCGAGTCCTCCACTGAGCAGGCAGCTGGGCAGCAGTGCCCAGTACCCGACACTGTACCCCGAGAACGGCCCCGTTTTCCGGGGTCCAGGAGAAAACCAGTCCCACGGTGGCTGGCCAGGGGGTGGGGACGGGGCGCCCCGGGCTCCCCGCACTGCTGCTCCGGCTAGAACCCAGGGTTCTGCTGAAGAGCATGGGGGTTGCGCCCCCGCCCAGGTTCCTAGGTTTGGATCCCAGCTTTGGCACTTACTCTGGCCTTGAACAGGAACCCTGACCCCTGAGTCACAGGTGTCTGGGCCTGTGCCAGCTGGATCCTGGAGGCTGGGGAAGGTGGGCACTTCTGAAGGGCAAACGATCCCACATTTTTCAAGGGTGAAGCTCGGATCAGGGGAATCAACCCTGGGACACTGATGTCCACACACTCTTCTCCTGGGGTGTCAAGGGCAGATGCCCAGCTTGACACCCCAACGTGCACTGTCCCTCACCCGGGAGCAGCACTGGAGGCCACTGTCCTCGGCCTGCGAGGTGCTGCGGTACACACGGGAGGGGACAGGATGCCCCCTTGCCTGGAGGCCGCTCCCACCCTCCTGCTCCTTGGTTGCCCACGCACAGGCACACACGTGCACATGCACACCCATGCACACCCATGCACACGCACGTGCCCCCAGCTGGGCTCCTGTGCACGTGGGCACTGCTGGCTGGCTCCCCTCTGGGCTGCGCGGGTCGGGACAGGTCTGCCAAACGCCCGTTCCCTGCCACTGCCTACCAGGGTACCACACTGGTCTGTCCTGGGGTGGAGAGGGGGTGCATTCAGAACCCCAAGCAGCCACGTGGA